CACACACACACACACACACACACACACACACACACACACACACACACTTGAGCCTGCCAGGAGCCCAGAATCAGCTGCCACTCAGACGACTCCAGGGGGAGCGGGAGGGACGGAGCCGCGGCTCATGAGAACGGGGAGCGAGCGGGAGGGGGACGGATGGGAGAAAAGACAACGCAGACGGGCACAGCGGAGCCTTGCCCAGAACAGGCCCAAACTGGGCGCCGGGTGTGTGGTACGGGTCAGCCAGGCTGGGGCAGGGATCAGCCGGGCCAATCTCCCTGGCACAGACAAGGCTGAAGAGACGCTGGCATCGTTTGCGCCAGTCATGGAGCCATGTCGCCCTGGATACAAGGCAGACAAGATGGGAGAGGTAACATCTGTTACTGGACCTTCTGGCGGCCCGGCCCTCACCCATGGCCCACAGCAGAGCCCCAGAGAGGGGGAAGATAGTGGGGGCAGGTGTACAAGAGAGGCAAATAGACCTGAGCCAAGGGTTTCCCCAGATGCTGAGGGCTTGTTGCAGTCTCGGGACACTGATTTGGGCCGTTCGCTAGGGAGACGGAGACAGATTTCTTTGTAAGTTGCTTTGCTGTGAGCACCAGGCATTCCCTCTGCGGGCCTGGGAGCGAGGCAGCAATTTACGCCTAGGCTAGCTTCTTTGCACACCAGACAGAAGGGGCGGGGGATCCCCATTCCCACAGCAGTGCTGGGCCCCGGCCTCCCCCTCGTCCCCTTTGCTGGAGCGGATCAGACCAGCGTCGGCCCATCACGGCCAGCATCCCGCTTCCCGCAGCTGCCAACAGTGGATGCTTCAAAGAGGGCACGCCTGCCCCCGAAGCTGTATGCAGTCAGGAGCCTATGGCCTGGCTCCTAGAGGCCCTAGAAGGGATGAGTTGAAGATCAGTGACCTTGTGGTTAGTGGTGACCCCCAGCCAGGGTAGCCGCTCGCTGGAGAGAATCACAGGGCCTGTCTGCGTCCAGCAACCTCTGCACAGATCCCCCTTCACAGGGTGCACACAACCAAGCGCTGCCTCTTCCCTGTCACGAGGCCCAAGAGCATCTAGATGCACTTTCCACACTTCACATTAGCAGCAAACAACATTTCCCCGAATCCAGGGAGGCTGCCGGCCGTGCCCAGCCCCCACCGCGCTAATGCTCGCGAGCTTTAAAGGCCAGAGATGGAAAATACCTAGCAGGCAGTGGGCTGAGTGCCAGGGACGGCTGAGCCAGCAAGCCGGCTTGGGGCGACCGTGGTGCGTGCCCCTCGGACATTTCCACTTGCACGCAGAGCTCCCCAGACCCCGTGTCGGTTCCCAGCCACCTGCTCCCGAGGCAGAAGGCTGGGGTGCGTTTCCCAGCC